TCATCATATACTAAATCAACTCCAAATGGATTAAAGAATTAAATATATGTCCTGAAACAATAAAACTCCTAAAAAAAACCATAGGGGAAACACTTCAGGAAGTAGGATTGGGCATAGGCCTTATGAATATGACCCCCAAATCACAGGCAACTAAAGGAAAAATAAACAACTGGGATTATATCAAACTAAAAAGCAAAAGAAACAATTAACAGAGCGAAAAGACAATCAACAGAGTGGGAGAAAATATTTGCAAAATATACATCGACAAAGGGTCAATATCCAGAATATACAAGGAACTCAAACAACTTAAAAGTAAAAAAACATGTAACCCAATTAAAAAATGGGCAAAGGAGCTAAATAGGCAGTTCTCAAAGGAAATATACGAATGGCCATCGGACACATGAAAAAACACTCAACATCACTCAGCATTCAGGAAATGCAAATCAAAACCACTTTGCGACATCATCTCACTCCAGTTAGGATGGCTAATATCCAAAAGATCTAGAATAATAAATGCTGGTGGAGAAAAAGGAACACTCCTACACTGTTGGTGGGACTGCAAAATGGTGCAGCCTTTATGGAAAATAGTATGGAGGTTCCTCAAACAATTACAGATTGATCTACCATATGACCCAGCTATCCCACTGCTGGGAATATACCCAGAAGAATGGAAATCATCATGTCAAAGGGATGTACTCCCATGTTTATTGCAGCGCTATTTACAATAGCCAGAGTTGGAACCTGCCTAAATGCCCATCATCAGATGAGTGGATAAGGAAAATGTGGTATATATACACAATGGAATACTTACTCTGCTGTAAAAAAGAATGAAATACTACCATTTGCAGGAACATGGATGGACTTACAGAAAATTATATTAAGTGAAATAAGCCAGGCACAGAAAGAGAAATACCACATGTTCTCACTTATTTGTGGGAACTAATAAAAATAAATAAATACATATACAAACAAACAAACAGGGGGTGGGGAGGGAAGATGACACAATAATCACCATAATTCCTCGAACTGGTTAAGGTAAGTGAATAGATATGATGTTGATGGGGGAGGGAGGAAAGGAGGTGGGGAAAGGAGGAATTGGTAAAGGGACAAGAAAATCAACTACATTGTATATTGATAAATTAAAATAAATAAATAAATATAATTAATTGGCAAAGAATGGGTTGTTCCCCTCTTTTTCTAGGATGTAGCCCAGGGACAGATAATACTCCATTTTCCAAAAGAAAGCTGTTGTTTTGTTTTCTTTTGCATTTTTAAGTTGTATTTATACAATGGCAAATATCTAGATGACTGGCCATATATTTTACTCTTCATGCATAAGCTGTGATAGTAGATAGAGTTTAAAACTGAAACATAGTTACAGCTGTAAAACTTTTATTCTTTCTGTATGTATTACACACCATACTAATAAAAACGATTCCAGTCCTGCCAGATGTTATGGAATCACAAACGTGTAAATTCCTGCATTTAAATATTTATAACTTGTGGAATATTATATTAATTCAAAAAGACAAATAAACATCTCTCTCATTAGAGCTAAGGAAAATAGGATATAGTCATCTTTGGGGTAAAGGCAATACATAGCAGGTTGTCGTTTAAGCAACTGAAAGTTTCTTACACTTTTTCCCCACTTTTTCACTTGTAAAGATATCCTTATTGTCACGTCTTATAAAAATGATACTCCTTGTATTATTTGTCGCCTGTTAATCTGCACGGCTTTCTAACCAAAACCTTCTCCTCTACAGCTTACAATACAGGTCGTTCATGGGGGAGCCCCTCCTGGTGCTCAGCCGGCAGTGCCAGGCCAGTAGGATGCCCCACAAAAGTGCCTAGTTAGGGAATTCTGGCACTAGACAGATAACAAGAGAGCATTCTATTATGGGGCATTGGAACATTCTAGGAATAATAAAAACTGCTGTTTCTGGGGCTCCTACTGTGTATGTCCAGCATTTTATATATGCCACTTTATATAATCCTCACAACAATCCTGCAAGATAAATATTGTCAACCCATTTTACAGATGGGTAAACCAGCTCGGAGAATTCAACTAGTTTAACCACGTCACTTAGCTGGAATCCAGATCTCACTCTCCATAAAGCCGGTGTCCCTCCCCCATACTGTGCTGCCACCGTGCTGTGACAGCCTTCCATTTCTCCAACAAGTACTGAGTAGTACTTACTCTACCTGGCATGGTACTAGGCAGTGTGCCTTGGCCTCATGAGCTTAGTGAGGGAAAGACATAAAATAAACAAATGAGTCCCCACATACATGTTGTCCAGGAGTGACACAGCAGTATGAAGAAAAGCAAAGCGGGGTAATGGGATGAGGTGTGAGGGCGGCTGCTCCGCAGTAGGCGCTCAGAGGACCCTCGGGTGGCGCGGTCTGCAGAGGCCCGGATGAAGGCAGGGACGGGGGGCATCCTCGAAACGTCCGGACACGCCGCCAGAGTGGTGGCATTCAATCACATTGTATTCTGTCAATTCCCTTTCAGTCAGATTATGTCCCACCAACTCACCTGAAGCCCACCAGGCTACTCTCTGGGAGCCACCATGTTCACCTCATGAGAGGGTGCTTGCCAGGGGCCTCGGGAAACGTGTGAGGAGACAGGCCGCGCCTTCCTGTGTCACTGTGGGGAGGGTAACCCCGCTCTCCATTGCCCTCTAGAACCCGGACGGGGCTCTCAGGCCCTCTGAGCTCTGCCGCTGCCGGTAGGAATCCCGGAGGGCCGCCTCAGGAGGGAGCTTCATCAGGCAAGGAGCCTCCACAGAGCAGGCGGTGAGAGAGGCGTTGCCTCGCACTGCGGCTTCCGCTCGTCGCACCACGGCTTCCGGTCGTCCGAGCGAGCATGGCGCCCGCACGCCTGAGGCGGCCGCGGGTCACCTGCGCGACGGCGGAGCCCACGCAAGCTTGCTTGCTCCCTGAGGGCCCACACCTTTGGGGGAGCGTATAAAGACCAACAAAATCCCTCAGTTCTCAAGTTTAGGATCGGGTGGAGGCGATGGACAACACTCCCACAACGATAAATGACACTGGCGGTTCATGATCTAAGGAATATAGAACGAGGGATTGCTTTTAATTGCGGAGATTAAACCAGGTGGCCTATAAAATGTCTAGCAAAGTGTCCAGGACTTACTGAACACTCAGATATTAGCTATTACCGTTAACAGGATCGGCTTCACATAGGAAGCAGAATTTGAGGCAAGACAAGATTGCCAGATAACTTACTGATGGAATTTCAGATAAGAAACAACACAAAATTTAGTAGAAGTGTGACCCAAATATTGCATGAGATATACTTATACCGAAATATATTTGTTGTTTATGTGAAATTCAAATGTAACTGGGTGTCCTGTTTTGTTGTTGGTTTTTTTTTAATCTTCTAAATCTAGTAAATCTAAGCTAAAGATTTTTTTAGCTTTATTGAAGCTAAAAATAATTGACAAATAAAAAAGTATGTTTAAACTGTACAACTTGATGTTTTAATATGCATATACATTGTGAAATGAACACTACAATTAAGGTAATTAGTATATGCATCCCTTCACATACTTAACTCTGTGTGTGTGTGTGTGTGTGTGTGTGTGTGTGTGTGTTGAGAAGACTTAAGATCTACCCTCATAGCAAATTTCAACCACACAATATTGTTAACTATAGTCACCATGCTGCACATTAGATTTCCGGAACTTATTCATCTTACTGAATACTAACTGAAACTTTATACCCTTTAACCAACATCTTTCCATTTCCCCCACCTCCCAGCCCCTGGCAACCATCATTCTACTCTCTTCTTCTGTTTTGACTATTTTAGATTCCACATGTAAGTAAGATCATGCAGCATTTGTCTTTCTCTGTCTGGCTTATTTCACTAAACATAATGCCTTCCAGGTTCATCCATGTTGTCTGAAAAGAGCAGCATTTCCTTCATTTTAAAGGCTGAATAATATTCCAGTGTATTGACATACCCCATTTCCTTTACCAACTCATCTACCAAGGGACATTTAGGTTGTCTCTATATCTTGGCTACTGTAAGTAATGCTGCAATGAACGTGGGAGTGCAGATAGATATCGCTTCAAGATCCTGATTTCATTTCCTTTGGAAATACTCCTGTACTCAGAAGTGAGATTGCTGGATTATATGATAGTTTCATTGAGCCAAGGAGAAATTTGACATGAGGATCAGGGAAAGTAAATTAGAATGTCAAAAGGCACAGAAACAGGAAAGAAATGGTATTTTTCATGGCACTTTATGCTCTCCAGCAATTGTTAACACTTACTGAGTACCCACTCTGTGGTAATCACTGCTCTGAGAGCTTTACCAAGATTAACTCATTCGTTCTGCATAAAAACATGTGTAGTGGCTTGTTACTATCCCCATTTTTAAAATGAAAATGGCATAAAGAGGTAAAGTAACTTGTCCAAGAGCACAGAGCTGGGAAATGGTGTAGCTGGGATTATGAACCCGGGGTGTGTGGCTCCTGGGGCTGCTGTCTCAATCATTTTGGATAGAGGAAAATAATCTGTTCAAAATAAGTTTATAGAAGGCCTTCTGGGCCAATCTATCATCAACGTCATTTTTTACAAGTCACATCACCCAACCCTAATTCCAACATAAAGTGAAATGTCATTTGCTAAATCTCTACTTCACAGGGGGTTACAGCTAGCCTAACTCAGCCACCCTCCATGTTCCTTCGAGTATGGGAATATGGGTATGTGCTCCTATGTTCCTCTCTTTGTTTTCAAAGTCCCCCTATACCTGGAATGTGGGATCTTCCCCTAACTGCTGGCTGAAGAATCAAATGTTACTTTGCAACAGCTTATCGGAAGCAAACAAGCTGATGGGAATTAAGCAAGAATTTCTGGGACACCAACATTACAGAAGGAGTGAAGGATGTAGAGAGAGCATTGACTGTCCAAACAGACAAAGGTAATGATTAACCAAACCTCCTGCAGATTTAAGTAGGATGGGAACTGGAAGTGGAGGCAACCTTCCTCTCTCTCAGCTCATGATCCAGTCCCACTCTCAAAAAGGATGTTTTCCATGAGGATCATCTGCCTGGTCCTGAGTGTGCTGGGCACAGTATGGGTATGGTCCCCTTTATTTTCTCTTCTCGATTTCTTTCTGGTATTTATTTCACAAAGAGCCTGGAGGTCTGAGCCTACCAGGTCTATGTCTTGACAGATAAGCTCCATCCAAGGGAGGCAAGCTCCTACATGGGCTTGACACTTCAAGAGTACAGGGTATTATGTCCCCACAAGTGAGATCTTAGCTGACCAAGGTGGACAAATTCACAAGGGAAGATTTAACATCTGGAATTCAGACTTACCACATTGTTTTGTTTTGGTTAGGTTTTTTCCAAAAGGCAAGAATTCTTTTTGCCATCATCGTTGCTATAAAGCCATGAGGCTTTATAATAACAGTTAACAGAAAAAAATTCTATAATAAGATTTTTTTCCTCTAATTCTTAATTTCTTGCTATTCTTGCAAATAACAAGAAATAACAAGCAGAATGTTTGATTTCAGCACATTTTTTCTGAAAGGTTTTCGTGTTTCTTCCAAGACAAAACATACAAACAAATGAGTAATCTTTGGAAACATATTGCAAAATCAGAAGAGATTAGTTGATGAGGCAATATGCTTTTCGTAAGTAATTGTATTCTTTTAAGATAACTTTTAAAAATTGCAATAATTTCTAGAATTTGACTCTAAATACTTACATAAAAAAGAGAAACTTCATTCAACACAGCTTCTTAAACATTCTGGTTTTATAAAAACATGACAGATATGTTCAAGGTACTCAGTTACCTCCTGGTAACTTATCCAGGAAGCGAATTATTCCAATTTAACTTTTGCCCTTTACCACTCATAAGCCCTAATGTCAGATGGTAAACATAAAAACTAAAGAGGGTTTTCTAACTTAACTCTCCCCTTTATGATATAATAATAAGTAAAAGTATTTATGAGAAATGAAACTAAAATTTGCTAAAGTGATATTTTGGATAATGCCTAGGCCTCAATACTTCTTCTGTCTCCCTTATTGGCATAAATATTCAATTTTGCTTATTTTTATTTTTATATCATTTTATTTTGAGATATGTTTGAATTTATTATTTCATTTCGTAGACAAAAGGATTATACTTCTTCATTTAAACACATTGTTCTTGATTTCTTGAATCATTCTTGTTATAAGGGTATTTTTTTAAAAATTAGAATGAAACTGCAAATGTCATCTAATTATAAGAATAAACTATTTTAGGTTTAAATAGTCATGGCAAAATCCTTGTAAGTTGGTGGTATAGAACAAAAACAGTTAAAATCTAAAAGCCATTCTCATTCATTAGGATATAAAGCCTTGTTAGAAGAATTGTTTATATCCTATTTTACCTCTTGGTTCTCAATAAGAACTTTTTTAAATCTGTATTTGTATTTATAAGGTGTTCCAAAAAAGTTGTCAGTAACTGACCATTATTTTTGCTTTCAGCCTACTTTTTTTTTTTCATTCAAAATAAAAAGAAATTATTGCATGTATGAGTAAACTAAAAAGCTTTTCCAATTCTGAACTGGCCACATTTGTGTCTTCAGTATGTACTTGTGCAAATTATGGACCCATCTCTAAAGGTTATGGTAGAAACTTGAAGGAGAGAAACATTAACTTAAAAAATAATGTGGGTTTTTTCTTATCAAAGCAGGAATTACAGGAGAAAGAACTCGTTGAATTTTCAATTATTTTTCTGTCTGTAGTCATAATGAAAATGAAAAGGTAAAATTTAACTAAGTTTGTTGATTCAAATAATTTTCCTTTTACAATGGGTCCTTTAAAATCCATGACATTTTTCAAATGCTTATTTAGTCCAAAAACAGTTCAGAAATTTGTACACCTTATGTCCTTTATTTCTTATAACAACACCATAAAATGAATATTAGGATTTTCATTCAAAGATAACCTGAAGCTTGTGGAGGCCCCAAAGCTGAGCTCATTAGTCTCTGTGACAGTATCTTCTCTTCCTTGGGACTTGTAGGCATGCCAGTGTCTCTTTCTCTTCCTGCTAATGTTGTTGTTGCTCTCTTTTGTGTGTGTGAATGAATCTTTAAAGACTGCAGATACTGGTGAAGGTGACTTTATAGCTGAAGGAGGTGGCGTGCGTGGCCCGAGAATTGTAGAAAGACACCAATCTGCCTGCAAAGAGACAGACTGGCCCTTCTGCTCTGATGAAGACTGGGTAAGTAGGGAGCCTGGGGAGCAGGAGATTCTTTCCCGATGGTGCTAGAAGGGCCCACAGGCTGACCCTGTTGGTCCCAGAAACATTTTCCAGTGGGAAATAATCTAATAGCTCTTTACATGCCAAGTTAAAGACAACAAATGAAAAGGGACCTAGTCCCAAGAGCACTGTTGAATTACCTTCCCAACTGTGGCTCATTAATGAGATGAACAGACTGGATTTTAGTTGCAAATACTAGGAACCTGAGTATTGAGGTCTCAAGATTTTGTCAGAAATAATTTATTGTTAAGTGAACCCTCATTCCAGAATTTCTCTATGACCTCTAACTAGTCCCTCCTAACTACTTTTAAGCCTCTATAGATGATCTAAAGAAATGGGGTAGAGAAGCATGGAAACTTGCAAAATTGTTCTGGATCCAAGAGAAAGACAGTTAATGTAATTTTCCCCCTTCACTTTCAGAACCACAAATGCCCTTCTGGCTGCAGGATGAAAGGGTTGATTGATGAAGTCAATCAAGATTTTACAAACAGAATAAATAAGCTCAAAAATTTACTATTTGATTATCAGAAGAACAATAAGGATTCTAATTCATTGTCCAGGAATATAATGGAAATTTTGAGAGGGGACTTTGCTAAAGACAATAGTAAGTACTGCATATTTAGTGCTTTGACTTTATAGCAAAAACAACAACAAAAATCCTAAATAAACATGACATCTGCTATAGCTACTGGGATTTTATTCTGAAGTATGTATTGAAGAAACACATGCCTCCATGATATCCCTGAATTTTAAGGAGGGGCTTGTTTTTATTATTTTTACAAATTAAAAGAGGTTAGCTTAGATTGTTTAAGGTCACAAAGTAAGTCAGAATTTTGGGTTGAAGACAAGAATTTAAGTGTGTTCTTTTCAAGTGTATATACTGAAAGTAAGCTGAGCCAGACCCGTGGAGTAGATATTCTTCTTTCTGTCTTACAAAGGAAGAAATGAAAGGTCAAGAGACTTGCTCAAATACCCAAAGCTGGGATTTCAACCCCTAGACTCCATTGAGCTGATTATGTAGATGTTTAAAACTTAAACTATAGAGCCGTGCTATATCTCTCTCATAGGACACCCATTAGGGCCAGGAAACATTGCATCCAACCTGGGCATGGGCAGTGAGTCTGGAGGGTCCGGTTCCTGAAGCCTTGCTTTGACTCTTTATTTCTTCAGGAGAAACTTGACTAATTTAATGTTAATGGTGCAACACTAGTTAGCAAGTGAGTGATACTGTTTACCCAAAAAAGCTTAGGGACAATTTCAAATCTACAGATAGGAAGAAAAACTCCTCAGTAAGAAAATCCAGTTGAGGATTTTCCCCAATTGAGGATATTAAAAAAAAACTGGATTATGATCAAACTAATTATTTTATCTCCTAATTACACCTTTAGAATTCCGAGGAAATTTCTTCTGCATTTATTTAGATTAATACTTACTTATAAGATGTGGTGCTAATAACAGCAAGGTAAAATATTCAGATCCCCATACCAGCCAGCAGCAAAAGAACAATAATAATAATAATAATAATAATAATAATAATTAATAATAATATTAATAACTAGTAGGACATCTTAACTGGTATCCCTGGATGACTTCAAGACATAATATTGTCAAAAAATCAAATGCCTAATAAGTTTTAAATTCACAGATTAAATGTCCAGAGAACAAACTTTTTTTTTTTTTTTTGTCTTTTTTTGTGACCGGCAATGGATCACAACCCTCAGTGTTGCGCCCGTACCGGACCGGGACCGGCAACGGGATCGCAACCCTCGGTGTTGCTCCCGCACCTTGCTCAGCCAGTGAGCGGCCGGTCTGTATGTGGGATCCGAACCCTTGGCGGGAGCGCTGCCGCGCTTCCCAAGCAGCGCACTGTAGCAGTGTGCCACCGGGCCGGCCCAGAGAACAAACTATAACCAAAATAAAATACTGAAAATATTTATAACCAAGTTTTCTTTTCTGTTTTATTTTCCAGTTATTACAAGCAAATCATTCAGCAGCTACTTCAATACTCATATTTTCTATTTCAGACAATGATAATACATATAACCAAGTGTCAGAAGATCTGAGAAGCAAAATTGAGGTCCTGAAGCGCAAAGTCATAGAAAAAGTACAGCTTATCCAGCTTCTGCAGAAAAATGTCAGGGCTCAGCTAGTAGATATGAAACGACTGGAGGTAAGCATATGACTTTGACACCAGATGTTCTTGTTTTTGAACATCAAGGAAAAGGAAGTCAATAGTCATGCACTGAATGCCTACTACATGCAGAGAAGTGTTATATACATTATCTATCTAAAAGTACCTATAATTTTCCCCACTCTACAGAGGAAGAAAAAAGTTCAGAATTATTAAGCAAATTTTTTAAGGGCACACAGATAGTAAATTTCAAAAGCAAATGTTCAGTTCCTGTCTGTCTGATTCCAAAGCCTCTTCCATGTCTCTAAGTCTTCAGCCTCAGTTTCTCTGAGGATCCCTTAATTAGTGCTTCATTTCAGAGGAAGTAGCATCTTACTTTTGATTCAAAGTCTAAGATGAATCCAAATAGCTCTCATTGTTTATCCTGGCTAGCCTTGCAATACCCAACCTCTCTTCCATTGAGGATGCTACATAAATGTAAAGCAAAGAGTATTGATTGGTAAGTCTCCAAGTCAAAGAAAGGAAACCAGTCTCCAAAAAATAAACTACAAGAACTCAATATACATAGTTTATTTAATCATTTCTACCTTTTCTCTTTATTTTTCTCCCTCCCTCTCTAGGTGGACATTGATATTAAGATCCAATCTTGCAAAGGGTCATGCAGTAGGGCTTTATCTCGTGAAGTAAATCTAAAGGACTATGAAGATCAGCAGAAGCAACTTGAACAGGTCATTGCCAAAGACTTACTTCCCTCTAGAGATAGGCAATACTTACCTCTGATAAAAATGAGCCCAGTTACAGACTTGGTCCCTGGAGAGTTCAAGAGCCAGCTTCAGAAGGCCCCTCCAGAGTGGAGGGCATTAACAGAAATGCAGCAGATGAGAATGGTGTTAGAGAGGCCTGATAGACCGGGGAACGCCCCAGGAGACTCTACATCTCATGGAATAGGATTAGAGACAGAAAGCCCCAGGAAACCTGGACCTGGAAGTTCTGGAAGTTGGAATCCTGGCAGCTCCGGATCTGGCAGTACCGCTGGAAGTTGGAATCCTGGCAGCTCCGGATCTGGCAGTACCACTGGAAGTTGGAATCCTGGCAGCTCCGGATCTGGCAGTACTGCTGGAAGTTGGAATCCTGGCAGCTCTGGATCTGGTAGTACTGGAAGTTGGAGCTCTGGGAGTTCTGGGTCTGGAAGTTTTAGGCCAGATAGCTCAGGCTATGGAAACACTAGGCCTACCAACCCAGACTGGGGTGCATTTGAAGAGGTATCAGGAAGTGTAAGTTCAGGGACAAAGAAAGAGTACCACACAGGTAAACTGGTCACTTCTACAGGAGATAAAGAGCTCTTGATTGGTAATGAGAGGGTAACCTCTAGTGGCAAACCCACCACACGTCATTCATGCTCTAAAGTCATTACTAAGACTGTGATAGGTGCTGATGGTCGCAAAGAAGTGACCAAAGAAGTGGTGCAGTCTGAAGACAGCTCTGACTGTGGTGATGCAGTCAATTTAGGCACACCGGGTACTTTTTCTGACATAGGTAGCCTGGATGATTTCCGCCGCAGGCACGCCGATGAAGCTTTTTTCTTTGACACTGCCTCGACTGGAAAAACATCGTCTAGTGTACTCACACCTATGTTCAAAGAGTTTGATGGTAAGACCCACTCTATGCGCTCAGAATCTGACATCTTCACCGACTTGGAAGACTCTCATTACTTTGGTGTACCTGAGTTCCCTCCCGGTGGTAAAACTTCAAGTCACAGCAAACAAGTTGTAACTAGTACAACAACTTTCAGCAGAGGAGGCTCCACACTGGCATCCAAGAGCCGTAAAATGGCAGATGAGGCTGGAAGTGAAGGAGATCTTGAAGACCTCACAGGAGGACATACCACCAAAAGAGGCCATGCTAAATCACGCCCTTCCAGAGGTATCTACACTTCTCCTTTGGGGAAGCCTTCCCTGACCCCCTAGATTAAGTTAATTATTTCTGCAAAGTGCTCCCATGGTACCTTACACTTCTTTTCTAACCTTGAAATTGCACTTGTATGGGGTTTTTTTGTTTGTGTGCTAGACTGTAAGTTCCATGGGAGCAGGGACTTTGTCCATTGTATCATCTCTGTATTCCCAAATGCCTAACAGTGCAGAGAGTCATCACTCAATAAATACATGTTAAATGAATGAATATTTCTGAAACTCGATTTTGAGTTTGTTTAACCAAATTCTCTCACCATTCAAAATGTGTGCCACTGGAATTGTCACTCAATTGATTAATCATGTGTTTACTGTGTGTCTCAGCTGACATTTAGATAGGTTAAAGATAAGTTGTATTAGTATTAATTGATACCTGGCTATCTTTGTTGGTTACTTGCTGTTAGTCAGTGTGTGCAAGTAAAAATCCAAATCCATTTGAGGAAAATCCCGTTTGCAATTTATAGGTATAAATGCCCCTCAGTTGCCGAAGTTCTATCCCAATGTAAATGCATTCTTTCCCCATGGAGGCAAGGAAGGAAAGAAGGAAGGAAAGAAGGAAGGAAGGAAAGGAAGGAAGGAAGGAAGGAAGGAAGGAAGGAAGGAAGGAAGGAAGGGAAGGAGGGAAGGGGAAAAAAAGGAAGCTGTATTCTTTAATCTGGGCCATGCCTATCTTTATAAAGTAAAATGAGAGTAACTTCCTCCAATCAGCTTAATTTTTTTTTTAGACTGTGATGATGTCCTCCAAACACATCCTTCAGGTGCCCAAAGTGGCATTTTCAATATCAAGCTACCAGGATCCAGTAGGATTTTTTCTGTTTATTGTGATCAAGAGACCAGTTTGGGAGGATGGCTTTTGATCCAGCAAAGAATGGATGGATCACTGAATTTTAACCGGACCTGGCAAGACTACAAGAAAGGTTTCGGAAGCCTGGATAACAAGGGGGAAGGAGAATTCTGGCTAGGCAATGAATATCTTCATTTACTAACCCAGAGAAGCTCTGTCCTTAGGATTGAATTGGAGGACTGGACTGGGAAAGAAGCTTATGCAGAATATCACTTCCGGGTAGGCTCTGAAGCCGAAGGCTATGCCCTGCAGGTCTCCTCCTATGAGGGCACTGCAGGTGATGCTCTGATTGAGGGTTCTGTAGAGGAAGGGACAGAGTACACTTCTCACAATAGCATGCAGTTCAGCACCTTTGACAGGGATGCAGACCACTGGGAAGAGAACTGTGCGGAAGTCTACGGAGGAGGATGGTGGTACAACAACTGCCAAGCAGCCAATCTCAATGGAATCTACTACCCTGGGGGCTCCTATGACCCAAGGAACAACAGTCTTTATGAGATAGAGAATGGAGTGGTCTGGGTCCCCTTTAGAGGAGCAGATTATTCCCTCAAGATTGTTCGCATGAAAATCAGGCCCCTGGTGACCCAATAGGCTGAAGGAGTGGGAGTGGGAGCACTGTTTTCTTTATTTAGTGATGGAGAGAAAATAAGGAAGTTAAAGGAGTCAAGATTCTTTATAACCTACAAAAAAATTTCCAGGTGCTATTTTATTATTCTTTGTATAGTAACTAAATGTAACTGAGACATATTTGTGCTGTGAAAAATAAAGCTATATGAGTTTTTTAATCTTTAAATAACTGTGTGTTTTGACATATTGTTTTGTTTTGGTTTTGCTTTTTGGCGGCTGGCAAATACAGGGATCCAAACCCATGACTGGTGTTACAAGCCTGCACTCTAACCAACTGAACTAACTGGCCAACCCAGGTTTAATATTTTTGTACAGATATACCAAGGGACATTCAGTACGTCAGGAAAAGAGATTCAGCTCTTCTCCATAACCCTGAAGGGCATTGGTTTGAAAACCACCCCAAATCATTGGGCCATTGTAAAGTAAAAAAGTTATTTCATCTATTTGATCTTAATGGCTTTAATCCAATATTTTAAGTTAAAACTCATTGAATTGAACAATGGCTGACCTTTGTAGAAGAATTTACAATTTACTAAGTATGTTCATCTCTTCTGTTTAGCAAGCAAATCCAGAAGAAACATTCTCTCCTAATAAAAATGGAAGTCTATTATTTAAGTCTTCCAGTAGAGATCATAAATCACACAATTTTTTTCCCAGGGTCTAATCAGTTTCTTTCAAAAGTACATGGAAAAATGCATTTAAGATCTTTAAAATATTTACAGGTAGCCCCAAAACAGATTGAATTTACACATTGCTAAATAATCTCCCAACATTGATTTGACTTCATTTTTTTTAATAATTATAGACTATATTCTGTGGTACGTTAGTTATTATTAGAAGTAAGCGATTAGTTTGAAAGCATCTCACTAAATATGATCTATACTATATTGATAAGTTCAACATATTTACATTGGTCAATATTTTATTTGATCCAAGTTGCATTTTCAGTCTTGGTGGTTTGGTTTTTGCCCCCAATTTTTAAATTCTTATTCTTTTCTAGTAAGAACTACTTGCCATTTGCCTTTAAATATATATTAAAATATTCCAGCAATCCAGCACATCATCCTTGCTTGCATAGCTTCTATCCCAATGTAACTGCATCCTTTTTCCAAGGAAGGAAGGAAGGAAGAAAACGAAGGAGGAAAAGAGGAAAGAAGAGAAGGAAGTTAGAGCTAGGAGCCAAGGCCTGGGGAGCAGAGGGGAGGTGAGCTTAAGAGCTTTTAAGGGAATCACATATGAAGCCCCAGTATTCTTGTGTTTCCTTATGTACAATTCAAAATCCTTGACACAAAAAAGTGATACATCTTCAAAGCTTTGGATAGTTGGAAAAGAACTTCAGAGTTAAAAGAAACTTCATTTCTTTCAGACATCAGAGCTCCACGCTATCTCAACCCCCACCCCACCTATACTTACACATATGCCTCTGAAGAATGGGCACTAGAAAATATTTTGTTTTCCAGAATAACACACTGTGTAAGGACAGAATTGAGTCCCCAAATGAAAATGTTTGTGAACAGGAAGAGCCATTCATTTCTAATTTATTTTGAAGATTTTTGGTTTATTAGCAAAGATTAGGTAAACCTCTTTTAATTTAATAAATATTAGCCAATATTAGCAGTCATGATAACTGAAGGTACAGTTTCGTTGTGAGAAAAGACATCAAACATTTTTTTTTCATTCTATCTTTAATCTATCACTCTACTTCTCTTCTCCTGAAATTAAATATTAATTCAGCTTCTCTGACTCTCATTCACTTGGAAATCCACTTCAACTTGGTTTTCTTGTGATTACCACTCCTTGAAATTGCTCTCCTTAAGTCAACAATAACTTTGTAATTCTAATTTAATGTCCTGCATTTAAGCCTCTTCCTCTTGACCTCTTTTAAACATCTGCTACTGTTTTGCCTCATCCAATCTCCTGGATCTATCTTTTTTTCATGATTTCTGGTATAACACTTTCTCCTGCCTCACTTTCTCAGTCTTTTTAAGTGGTTAATTTCTTCTCGAACCACTCCTTAAATGTAGGGGTTTCTAATTACAATAACATTAGTACTCATCTTTATCAGTTAGAATTAGGTTTGTGGCTTCAACAAGGCAGAAACTTGTTTCTTGTTCACAGAGAAGTCTGCCGAAACGTATCCCATAGTTTTCAGGAGGCCATCATCCTAATAAAGGCTTCCATCTTTCAGTTCACCTCATGGACCAAACATAATGTCCTGTGGCAGGCTGAGAGAAGGAGGAAAGACAGAAGGGAAAAGGAGTACATTCTCTCTTTTAAGGAACTTTCTTGGATGTTCCAGACAGCACGTATGCTTATATCTTATTAGGCACAACTTAGCGGCATGGATAGACGTACTTGCAGAAGAGGCTGAAACGTCAATTTTTAGCTTAGGTACAAGGCTATCCTACTTAAAATTGGGATTCCGTTAACAAGGAAGAGAAGGGAAAGCAGATATTGAGGTTTGCAATTACCAGCCTTGGCCAAACGATGTTTTCTCACTCCATAGTGACTACTCTTTCTCTTCGGTTGATCTGATAACCACCATAGCTTCAGTGACCATCAATAGACTTAAGCAGGAGAAAGATATTAAGGTTAAGGTAAAATTTCTTTCACAAATTTGTCCATTTTCAAGCTCTGTGATCATTTGCTCCACACTTCATTTATCAATGAATTTCTCACTGGTACTGAAATACCAGGTCCTTTAATGATTCTGTGCCTTTTCATGTACTACTTAGAAGACACTCATTCATTCCTCTAAAAACAGATCAATTAACGATATTTCTGGGAACCCTTCCCCTATGCCCACCTTAGAATGAATTGAATTGTCCTCTGGGCTCTGGTAGTTTTTGTTCATATCTTAAAAGTAGCATAGTCTAGGGCCGGCCCAGTGGCGCACTGCTACAGTGCGCCGCTTGGGAGTGCGGTGGCGCTCCCGCCAAGGGTTCGGATCCCACATACAGACCGGCCACTCACTGGCTGAGCGAGGTGCGGGCGCAACACCGAGGGTTGCAATCCCGTTGCCGGTCCCGGTCCGGTACGGGCGCGACACTGAGGGTTGCGATCCGTTGCCGGTCACGAAAAAAGACAAAAAAGGAAAAAAAAAAAAAAAGTAGCATAGTCTATCCTAACTATAACGTATTTATGTTATTATGGTACTAGACTGTGAATTCCTTTAGGACAGAGCTCATTCATATAATGTATTCTGTCCTAGATAAGAACGTCTCACCCATTCCAAGATTATACAAATAAATTTTAGATTTTTTCCTTTACATTTATATGTTTAGTTAATCTAGAGTTTATTTTACTATGTTATTAAAAAAAACCCTACTTTTGTTGTCTTGTGGATGGATAGCCATTTATACTGGTATCATTTATTAAACAGAGCATTTTTGCCCATATATTGAAATGTCAATTTTGTTGTATAAAATTTTCTTTGGATCTATATATAGACTCCATCCTGTGCTTCTACCTCCTTGTTTATCTTTAAAGTATAACTTTTGGATAAAGTATCCTCCCTCTTATCCCCTACTTTTTTTCTTTCTTCATTCAAGTCTAGAAAAAATTTAATTTTTATTTTTATTTTTTGATGTTGTTCTAGTTGCTACTTAGAAAAGTCTTTCTTAATTTCCATGTAGTTACTTATTTAGAGGGTTAGGGTGAGTCATCTTTGAATTATTAATTTCCAAATATTTTATAAGTTATGTTAGTTTAACCAACTATTGCATTCTAACTATTTTAGAATTTTTAATTTTTCTTTGTGGACAAATACAGATTAATTTTTTAAAATGTTTCATAGACAAAAGAAGAATGTATACTTTACATTTATAGGTTACAATATTTTATATTACCAAGACTGTTGATCATAATATTTAAATATTTTATATCTTTTTCTAGTTTATTTAACTGATCTGTCATATTGTAAAATATATATGTGTCAATATATTTATATGTGCATACATGTTTGTGTGTGTGTGTGTATAATAAGATCTCACTCTGGTTTTGTGTATGTGTGTGTGATCTCTGTGTTCTAGGAATTTTGCTTTGTATCATTGGCTTTTTCATTATCTAGTATATGCAAGTTTATGACTGTTACATCTTTTCCATGGATTGTATTTTTTATCATTACATAATGACTCTCATTTTCCTGTTTCCTCGTTTTGAAATTGAATTTCACCTTGTCAAATACTAATAGCGTCGCCATTCCTGATTTTTTTTTTTTGCATTTACTTAGATATGTCGACATATTTTATTTTCAACATTTCTTCATCACTTTGTATAAAAGATTTTCCTAAAATAATAGATTAATTTTTAAACGCAATTTATTTTACATTTACTTTTTTATGCTATTGTTTCATTGCTAATTAACTCTTGTGCCTTTATTTTCAAAGTTTCTTCTTCACTTCATTTAGACTTTCTTAGAAGTAATAGACAATTTTTTTAACCTAATTTATTTTACATTTACTTTAAAAATATTATTGTTTTCTCTTTCCTTAACTTCTGCTCACTTAAGTTATGATCACCTGTCCTCCCTAATCTGTAAGTTCTCTTTAGGTTATCTATTTCACAATAGCCCTTGTTGAATACATGAATGAATGAATGAATGAATGAATGAATGAATGAATGAATGAATGAATGAATGAATGAATGAATGAACAAAAAAGATATGAACCTGAAAGTTTTTCCAAGAAGGTACATGGTTTTAAATATTTTTTCTAGAGAAGAAAACACTTAATTAGGGATTTTGATCCTGAGTCAGGAATATAAAAAACATCCATGTATATTTTAATTTTACACCCAGGTAAATCAATCTGCATTTTCAGCCTGAAGCTGTCCCTCATGTTCTCCTTCAGTATACCATAGAACACGAGAGAATCTCTTAATTAATTACTCTTTTCTTATGTGTGGGAACTGTATTTATATCCAGTACTTAATATAAAGCCTGGCACATAATAATGACCCAATAA